TAATGTGAGCATTGGAGAGCAGCTATAAATACAGGAAGCTTATATGCCGTTTGGTTAGTAACTTCCATTTGTGTGGCATGATGCCTCACAGCATGGTGAACAGTGAGGGTTCTTCGTCTGGGGCTTGTAGAGGCCTGACTTATATAACATTGTTGAGAGTCATCCATGCTGCAGCATGTGGAGTTTCCTATGTTTTCACTGGCAGATTGATCTTGCAGTGTGTGCAATTATGGCAGTTTCCTCACACATTCATTTGCCGATGCACCTTGGATGCTTCCATATTGTGGCTTTTGTGATGATGCTTCTAGCACGCTGGTGCACAAACACCTCTTCTGGACTCTGCTCCCAAATCTTTTGAATACATAGTTGGAAGTAGAATTGCTGGAGCAATTCTTATTTTCATCTATTTGTATGGTGTTTTTGGAATCTGTACCATTTAAGATTCCCACTGTAGAGCCTTGGGCTCCAATGTTTTCCATTTTCACCAATACTTGTTATTTTCTGGTAACAATTTATGATGAGAAATCTGCAGCTAACCCTTACTAAGGATGGCCTGCACGTGAGAAGCCACCTCACCCTGGCTGTTTTGAAGCTTTGCTCTGCGTGTTTGGCCCTCTCCACTGTGACCTTACTGTGTGGTGTAGAATCTCTGCTGCCGCTCCTCCTTGTGGTTGCTGAGTTCCTTGCATGCTTTTCATCCTCCATCCTCTTGGAAAGCTGAGTGCTGTTATTTCCTCAACGCTCCCTCTGCCCTTTCTCTTCTTCAGCTCTCCCGCGAGGCTGTGTTGGTCCAATTTGTTGTGCCCCACAGGTCTTAGCATCTGTCCATTTTTCTGCAATCTTTTGTCTCTCTGTTCTTCAGATTTGTGAATTTTCTAGGTCCTATACTCAGTTTGTGGGTTCTTCACACTATGTGCTCTGCCTTTGGATTTCTCTAGCGAGTTATTAGTGACAACATTATTTTTCTCTATGTTTAAAGTTGGGGCTGGAGATTTAGCTCAGCGGCACAGCGCCTGCCTGGCAAGCACAAGGTCGTGAGTTCAATTCCCGGTACCGGAAAAAAACAAAAAACAAACAAACAAAAAATAAAGTGATAATAGATGAGCAAGGGGTCGTTGCAGAATCCAACCCAACTTTTTCTGGAAAGTAAATTCTAGAAAAGCATTTCAGCAGCAATTTGCAAACATCTAAGTATGGGTATTATATCATTTTAATTCCATACATTTCTAGATATTATAGCACATTACTTTTGCAAGTGTGGAAATGCCAGATATTTTTGGTAATTCAAAATATATCACTATATATCAAGGGAAATAGTTTAAAATTTCAAAAGTCAAAATGATCAAAACCTTGGGTTAAATATTCAGTTTGGTGAAAAACCCTGGGTAATTTTGGCAATGATGACCAAACAGAGAATGTGTAAGGGTTGTGTGAGGTGTGGCCAGTTGTACTGAAATTGTGGAAGTCCACCATGGGAGAAAGGCCAGTACAGTCCTGAGCCCTTGACCTGGAAGTCATTAAAACCATGATTTGTGTTTTCTTCTGAGACAGTTGGGACTTAAAGAGTGCATTTTCTAAAAAAATGGTGGCTCTTCACCTACACCTCCAG